AGGCAAATAATCACCATTTGTGGAAGTTCCTAAATATGTTTTTACCCAGCAGACTTGGAAGCAGTTGTACGTTTGTAAAGATAGACGATAAAAGCTCTGGAGGAGCTGTCATCAACTTGTGGCTCAGTAATTTGTGCTTTGAAAAGTCTCTAAAGACATATTTACATGAGACCTCAAGAGCTCGTTTTACCACCTCTCATATACAATTTATGTAATTATTATATTGCATATAATTATTTATTTGCATATATTCTATATGATTATTTGATTATAAGTATTTCTAGGTCCTTAAAATCTTGGGGATATTTACAAAAATGATTGAATATAAATTCCTTCCAGAAAAGGGACAAAGCTCTAATTTCTTCCCCTCACTTCCAGCTGGTATGTATGTTTCCCCAGCAGGTAGAGCGTTAATGTTAAAACACACACAACTTAATTAGTTCAAATTAACTAAATTAGTTCAATTGATATTAACACCCACTAGCAGTTTTTTACACAAATCACAGTGGCAAAGAAATGCCGAGATTTTGATGCTCCACCTTTAATTCCTCTAATTTAATGACAGGTTTCAGAGTAGCAGCCGCGTTAGTCTGTATTCGCAAAAAGAAAAGGAGTACTTGTGGCACCTTAGAGACTAACCAATTTATTTGAGCATAAGCTTTCGTGAGCTACAGCTCACTTCATCCAGCTCACGAAAGCTTATGCTCAAATAAATTGGTTAGTCTCTAAGGTGCCACAAGTACTCCTTTTCTAATTTAATGGTTTAACCCTATAGGATAATAAACATGGCTACTTTGCACTCGGCTATTGCTTTCTATTTGTAGCTCTCCAAGTGCTTTATATAGCTAGATCTACATAATTATTATTATTTTACTTTATTTTCAGAGATGATAGAGAGGTTACTAGTCTCATTTCACAACTGGTGAACATACACAACTCTCACTGAGGTCAGTGGGAACTAAGGATGTTCAGCGCCTGTGAAAATCAGGCCACTTGTGACTTTAGACCGTAGTCCGTCAAAGCAGGGATGGTCTTTTTTCTGTGTTTGTACAGCAACCTGAACAATAAGATACCAAACCCAACTGGGGGCTTTGGGCACTACCATCATATAAATATTTACTACTGTTTGCTACTGTGACTACAGGTCACACAGGAAGTCCTTGGCAGAGGTGAGACATTAACTCAGGTGTCCTGGCACCTAACCCAATACACAATCTAACAGATCACAGCTACAAAGGAGTTACCACCTATGAGTGCTGCACCAGACGTGTTTTATGTCAGGTGAACTTTGAATTCCTTTGGTTTGGGTTTTAGTCTTATAACATCATTTAAATGTAGTTTGTGTGTGTTTCTTTCCAAAAGCTAGAGGGATGTAGGATCCAGTCCTGCAGTACTTTCTCAGGAGAAACTCAGCAGAAGCTTTTGCCTAAAAAGAGCTGGGCCCTTACTAATGCTGTATATTTCTGTAGGGTGCCCAATGGCCTTGGAGGAAGGGGGTTGAGAAACGCTGATAATGGAAATAAAGAAAGTACACAGAAGGAGAAGAACCAGGTGAGGGGTCACACAGCTTATGTCTTTCAGATAGTGCAGTAGTATTTGGAAATGTAACTGCATGTAAGGGGGCCAGAAACAAGGTGTATAGAGAGGAGGAGATGATTTAGTGGAGACTAGCCCCACTTATGGCCTTTTCTCCTTTGATTAAAAAATTTAAGAACACATTCTTATTTTAAGTCACTCCTGCCTTCAGAGTGTGAGTGTTGGGAGAGAACATCAAACTCATGTAACACACTGGTTCTGTAGGACATGTCCCCTTCTAGTGGCTGGCCTACATAGGGATTAAAAGCCCACTACTGCTACCAGTTAACAGTCAGCTCAGGTGGTGGAGACGTGATTTTGGTGCAGAAGGTTCCCAGCTTCTATCTCTGCTGGGTGTCCCATGAATAGAGGTTATTGCACCTGACAGGTGCTGGATGGAGAACAATGGAAGTGATGTCCTCTGTTTGCAGAATGTGGACCCCAGCAACATGACCTGACCCTCACCTGAAGGCAGTATCTCTGAGGGAATTCGGCTCTGGTATCCTTGCTACAATTGCCAACAAGGTAGATTGTTGGGATGGTGTTTTTTTGTTGCAGCCACAAATGATTAAACGGAGACCACTAATTTTACATGGACCACAGACCATTAGACAGATGGGAACAACTTTTGGTCACTTTGTACCCAAGCCAACTTCACTGGGGGCTGCCCAGAGTGAAAAGTCAGAACAAAAGGTAGCCAGTCAAGCCAAGTAAAGTTGACATGTACTGCAGGTGCCAAAACTTAAGGGTCTGATTTTCTGTGGTCTTGCACCTTGTGTTGTCATTTACAGCTGAGCCAAGAGAGTTGCAGAGTTGATGTAAAATCCTATTGTTCTGACAGGGTATCAATAGACACCCACTTTGCACAGGTGTCAGTGATGGAGAATCCGGCTCTAAATTCTTGACAGCTTCCTATCAGTGGAGAAAGAAAAAAAGGGAGTGCTCAAAAAAGTAGAAGGGTCCCTCTACACCTTGTACTACTGTATTCTAAAGAGAGATGTTTTCATAGGGTCTTTGCTATTTTGAAGACATTTATTATAGGAGCATTGTATATTTTTAAGCTGTTAGTGTAAGAACCAGGTAAACCACCCAGACTCTAATTCTCCAAGGCCCTGCAGTTGTTTACACTAATGCAGAGTGGCTGTAGAATACTACTAACTGGGAAAGGCACCATTCTACACCTACTTCATAGACGTGTAAAGGACTGCAGCAGGGTCAGGGCAATGGAGAATCAGGCCCACAAAGAGCAAGGCCAAGAATTGTGTGTTTCTGCAAAGTTTTACAAGCATTCGAGGGATCATTGTAAACACAATTATTTCCAAATCCTGCAGCAAAGTTTCAGGGACAGTCAGGCATCAATTTGCAAAGTGCTGGTTAGGGGGTTTAGCTGTGTGACTCCTGTTGACTTTGATGAGAATTGCGCAGCCAAGCTTTACGCGCCACTTTGAAAATATGGGGTAAAAAGCATATAATTCTGTGCCTTAGGCTTTCAGGCCCTGTGATAACAGAGTACAGCACACATCAGTTGTTTAAGCAATAGTCCTCACCACTCTGGGCTCCACTGCCCTAACTTGAGATGCATTTGGAGTTGAAAGTGATACTTCAGAACATCCAGATCATTTATTTTACAGTAGATCAGGCATCAGCCATGATTATTCCTATTAGACAGTGCCCTTATGTAGTGTTTAGTGGGTAGAACAGGGGAGTGGAGCTCAGAGACTTGAGTTGCAGTTCCTGTTGTGTGACCTTACACAAATTGTTTAACCTCTGTGACTCAGTTTCTCCACCTATAAAATGGAGATCACACCTACCTTCCTTTGTAAAGCACTAATGAAATGGAAGATGATATAGGCCCAATTCTGTGCCATGTAAGTCAAGGGGAGGCTGCCATTAAAAAGGAACGGGATTGGGCCCCATCTGGTTGTAAAATATTAGTAGAAATTATAACAGTGTTACAGCCTTCTCAGAGTGACACTCTTACAATGGAAATGCCATGTAATGTGAAAGTTCCAGCATGGTGCTTAATTACAGTTGCAGAACCCACTAGAAAAGGCAGTCGGCCAGATTCTGATCAATTACACTCAGGTAAATCTGGAATCATTTGAACTGAATATCCCACAGGTTTACTGTGGATAAATCTGAGGATAACTCTGTTGCAATTAAATCGATCCCATCGTCTGAATGAGTTTTGGGGTCACAGATTGGTGTTTCTAAGACTTTTTAAAAATTTTTAAACTTTAGCATTCTGAATCGGCGTGGAAATTTATTTTTCATGACCACGTCTTTGCAAACAGAAAACCAGTTAATTATTATTATTATCATCTAGTTTTGTCTTTATTAAAGCTCTCAGTTGCTGCAGTCTATATTAACCTTCAACCTCTGATCAGACCGAACTGATGGTCAGACAGAAACGGTATTTAGTATATAAAATAACTGAAAAGAACACCTGTTTCACTTTATTAGGAGAATTGAAAAGAATGTTTTCTAACTTATTAGCAGATATTGCCCACCACTCAAATTAATTGGAAAGATTATAATATTAAATTTTTTAAAATACAGATTATTGCCTAATCTCCCGCAAAAACCCATCCCAGCCACCCTAAAACAAATCCAGCTCTTTTTATCCTTTAAAGAATGCCCTTCAACACTTCCCCACACCCCGAACTCCCCCCTTTGAACAAGTTACAGGATAAGCTTTCAACCCAAAAGTTCTGCCAAAAGTTTCTGAAGTTAATTTAAAACCCCACGTTATTTAAAACAATAACAACCCCCAGAGCTCTATTGTTTGCTCTTTAAAAATCAAAACGACCCCCCCCCCCCAGCAATAAAAATCTAAAGTGCTCTGGGCGAGGAGGACCCTGGCTGGGAGAGACGTGTGAATGCCTTTTCTCCCCTAAAGTTTTTGGATGCATGTCTCCTAATGATGTATGGATGATATATTGCATTGTGGGTGTCAATATAAGTGACGGCCATATTTGCCGGTGCTGCTACCGCTGTAAACAACCCAAAGTGTCTGGGAGACACAGAGACGCTCCACGGAGTGTCAGGGCATTTTTCTTTCTTGCCTTTGCCATGTCTCTAGGAATGTCTTACAAGCCCAACCTGAACGCCCACCTCCCCGGGACTTCCATCAACCAGGGTAAGTCTCCGACGGCAACTGGAGGGCAAGTTTCCCAGCCCCTTTTCGGAGGCACAAGCAGAGCGCCGCGGTGCAGCGCGGATACCTGGGGAAAGCCCCGGACTGTAGTTTTTGTCCAGTTCTAGACGTAGGGTCAGATTCCCCGGAGCTGATTCATATCCGCCATTATTACTAATCACCCGCGGCGCGGCGCTGCCCAAGGAGCAAACTTCGGCTCCCCCCCCGCCGCCCCTCCCCGGGCCCCGCGGCGCCCCGCGCCCCGCCTGGCGCCCAGGTGCCGGCCGCCTCCGCGCGGCGCCGCTCGGTCGGTGGCTCTTTGGATCCGGCCGTTCGCTTTCCTCCATGATCGCCTCCCCAGGGCTGCTGATTGATCTGGATCAGGAATATTCTGTGCGCGGCTCAGCCGCGACCGCTGCTGGCGGGACGCTGCAAGTGCCTGGCCGCGCGCGGTGCGGGAGCCCCGCTTCCCTCTGCTCTCCAGGGCTCGCGCCCCGAGTGACCCCCCTTTCTGCAGGGCTGCGCCCCGGAGCCGCTTTGAAACAGCCCCCTCCGCCCCGCCCCGAAACGGCCCCCTCTCCGCCAGGGTTTGCCCTCAGGGGAGAGTCACTCAAAGTGCTGGAGTCTGGAGATTAGCCTGGGCTGGATAAGTCTCCCCCTACCAGCATGAGACTCAGTTAGGAGCTTTGGAGAGCTTAATTTTTGTGAACGAGGGCCTCCTTTTTATTTCATTTTATTTTTTCTGTCAGTGCTTGTTTTTATTCCCCATCTTTTCCACCCCCTGCAAAGTTACTGGGGTGGAGTGAACTTTTTTATTTTCAAAGGTAACCGTCATTTAAAAAAAAATTCTGCGGTGAACTTTGCTGCGTGTATGGGGGTGCGTGTGTACTTTGGAAAATTCGGAAGAAAGCAGCTGCAATTCACTGTGGGATATTTTCAGACGATCCCGTATATCTGCACAAGACGGATATTAAAACAAAAAATGGAGAAGTTGTCTGTAACCGTTCTGGTTTTAACAGCTCGCTCACACATATAGTGTCTACAGGTCTGACATCAAAATATCAACAGGAAGAAATGTGACTTAAAAAAAAAAGGCAGAGAGAGAAGTTTTGATGTTTTAGAAGGCAGTGGAAATATACTTCAGTGGTTTTGCAGCACTGTCTGTCATTCTGTTCCTGGAGTATTGATGAGCTAAAGGGATTAATTACATGTACCCCAAAGAAACTACAATGACCGGCAATTATAGCAGATCTCATTTTGCTGTAAGGAATTGTCACCAGCTGACAGAGAAGAAATGAACTGCAGCCTTGATCCTGCAAACACCTACACATGAGAATAGCTTGAAGCATGTGAGTAGCTGACTTAAATGGGTACTCAGGTGTGTACAATGAAGCATGTAAGTATTTGCAGGATCATGGCCTGAGATCAGTGTGCTACTTTTTAAAAAAAGCCAGGAAAAAGGCATGTTCCTGACTTCAGATTCTTGTGACATACTAAAGCAATGTCACCAGAAAGAACCAAGCGATGGAACTGTTCCTTTTTGTGTCTCACTGCAGCCAGTGTCTCATTCTCTAAAATACCTCCATAGAAGAGCAGGGACACTGAGCTTTTTGTTTTGATTTTTGGCTTACGTCATGGAGCGAGAGGAAAACACAAGGCTAACTGCACTTCAGATGAAAGCAACAGCTAAGACCATGGCAAACATGTTACTGAGACTATTGGTTTAAGTAACTTGGAAAGTTCTTTCTGTGATTTTTGTCGCTATCATTGTTCTGTCTATATGCTCTCTAATGATCCATGCCATGATTCAGGCTGTACGTTTCTTTCATTCAGTTTGTCCTCCTTTTTTAATGGCTTTTCAGCAGTCCCCTGTGAGGCTTCAGTGATCCCCGAACTTGTGCTTGTTTGATTCATGTTGTCCTTAACACCCACAGACTCTTTGCAAGGAAAAATATTTTAATCAGTATCCAAAATGGGCTCTCTCTTTCTCTCCATCTCCTGCCATTATCCCTCATGCACCAGCCCTTCCTCTAGCTAGTGGCGATGCCAGCATGATGGCCTGAGGCCAAGGGAGTTAGACAAAGCATTCCTTGCAGGGGCACACATTGCATTCACAGTGATGTGATTACAAATGGCTTCCCTCCTTGCTGGACCCTAATTCTGAGTTTCAGGAGGTTCCTTCTCTATTGTGTTTAAATTAAATGCCACCAGCTCAGCTAGAAGTGGAAATCCTGGGTTTGCTTCCAAACCCAGGGCTAGAGCATCCCTTTCCTTTGTATCCTGTGAAGGGGCTGAAAGCAGGACATCTGTCCCTTTGGCCTGAGATCAGCTCTGCAGAAGCTGCTCTGCGGGAACTTGGAGTGATTGGGGCTCAGGGCTTTGAGGGGATGCGGCCAGCTGGGGGTACCTATATAATAATGCCGAAGCTCTGTGCTGCAGGGTTTTTGGTGCAAGTGGGACTAGAGGGGCTGTGGTGCCATGTTTCTGAAGTCTGTGTCTTCACTGCACAGTTAACTTGTGTTATCTACGCTCTGGTTAATTCCTCTCAACTAAGTCTAGCTCAAGTGAGAGTGGCCACTCTACAAAATAGCACGTGAGCTACCTGGGGTGTTTGTATTAGCAGCTGATGAGTTCTGCTAACCTGAGCTGCAGACTATACCACCAGGCAGGCCAGCCAACTCCACCCTGGGGTTTTTGTATGTGGATGGGTCTCGAATTAGGGATAAGCCAAGTTACTTGTGCAGTGAAGGCAAGCCTTGAGAGAGAGGAGAGTTGCCATAGGAGCAGGGAGGGCTGCAAAGGGTTAATGGGAGATCTTGGGATGACTGTGGGGATTCCCTGCAGATCTTGGGATGGCTGTGTAAGGAAAGTCTGTCTACTCCACAGGTAATTTAAACCCCCTCCGCAGCTATATGATACTGGGGGCACTCCAGGGGCCTGATTCTCCACTGCCTTGCAGCTTTGTCATTTACACTCATTCAAAGAGAGAGTAATTTGCTTCCAAAGGGGAATTTTACACCTTGCTTTGCCCAGACTTGAGTGATGATGCAAAGCTCAGGGCAGTTGGGGTTTAGGCCCCAGGTGATTAACCTTGCAGTGTTTTTCCAGGTATCTGTAGTCTTCCCATGGGACTTTCCACTCTGGAGCCTGGGCTCTTGTGGTATAACGTTCAGTGCTGGTCCTGTGTTTATAAACCAGCCCCTCGCAGACAAGTTCTTAATCTCAAACACAAAACCTTCTGTTTTTTAAGGTCCTCTTTATTATCTCACTCGCTTTTTTTGTTTTGTTTAGTTTAAACAGGGTTAGAGCTATTATGGCTGTATTTTGTTTGTGCACCAGCATCTTTAATAATTTCACCTGGAATCTGCACAGCTCTGGGAATGGTATTTGCAAGGCGCATACTGTATCCGTCTTTTTTTTTTTTCTCTGAACCCGCAGCAATGACCGCTTAAACTGCCCCCCTCCCCAACAAAATGCAAAGATCAGAGTGAAGTTTTAAAACTTCCATGTGTAGGATCAAGTTCCATCAGATTATAATGATGTTAAGATAGCAGGCTGCATCCCGGATCCACATTGTTCAACAGCAACCCTTTAAACAGAAAAAATATTGTAACCTAGGACTTCCATAGTTCTCACTGTGCTTGCAGTGTCACCACTCAAAACTTTACAGTACTGAGATTCTCCTGTTCCAGAAGCACAGGTACCTCCCGCCACTTGAGCCAAAAGAGAATCTCCATTATCTGGTATCAGTATAGTAGGGGCCCAACACAACTGAGAGTTCTGATTCCAGCCAGTAGAGGGCAGTGGAACATATGCACCTGCTAGCTAGTCTCTTATGTCCAATAATATGTTACATTATTAACATTAAGGTTCTGACTCAGCTCCATGAACAAACTGCTTCCTTAATGTTCTTTATGTAATTATATTCAACGTGATCCTGTTGTCCTTATTCAGTTTTTATGGAGGGGGGAGTCGATTGTGCCACAAGAGTGCAGAAAATGAAGTACTCTGTTCAGATATCAGTTTGTGGAAGCTTTTACATATTAAACTATGCTAGACACAAGGAGTAATTTGTGGGCATTATATTTAACATTCGTTTTCCAGATTTACATATATATTTAAACTCTCTCTTGTCTTGGATTCACTTTTTCAAAGATTCGCAGTGGCATTGCTCTGAAACCTGTTTTTATGACTGTAATTCAATTTGCTAAAATGTAATACAGCGCTTGCTCACTATTCACTGGAAGTCCAAGTTGTTAAAAATAGTCTGAAAAGAGCTGAGCTAAACATGCTGAGTAGTTTACTTTTTCCAGATGTAACTCACCTGGTCTCTTATCAAGTGAGTGCCTCCTTCCCCCCAATTCTCCCCCCCCCCAATAGAAATGGATAATGGCAGGGGGGCACTGAGGGGTGTTTTTTTGCTGGTTTGAGCCAAAAGGGGTGTGGAATTACCAAATATGAATTACCTTTGTCTGTGTCTAAAATGTTAAAGCTTAAAAGAGGTTCTTTGGCTGTTGCAGAAGAACAACCCGAGCATTTTTTGTTTGGTTTTGTTTTTAAGGAAATGGCCTGATTCTCATTTGCCTTTCATTGACACCAAAGCCCCTTTCCAGGCTCTGGCAGTGTAAAGGGGATTTAAAGTGGGTGTAAATACAAAGTAAATAAATAGATATAATGCACGTTGCATTTACACAGCTAGAGCACTGTGAAGGGGACTTTGTAAAGGGGATCAGTCCCAATATTTCCTACTAAAATGGCTTGTTTGTTTGTTTAAATATTCAGTGGGACTGGAGTGTTTAGGGGAATTGGTAATGGGACACAGAGTGTTTCACTGTGAGGTTGGCAGTGCCTGTCCTGCTTTGCCCTGGTGCTGAAGTAGGATCTGCCTGCATAGACACTGATGCCCATGTGGCATCTCCATTTCTATTATTCTAATCATTTAGGACTGGAAGGGACCTTGAATCAATTTCTAGTCCAACTCCCCACACTGAGGCAGGACCACGTAAACCCAGACCATCCCTGACAGGTGTTTGTCCAACCTGTTCTTAGAAACTTCCAATGATGGGGATACCACAACCTCCCTTGGAAGGTATTTCAAAGATTAACTATCTTTATAGTTAGAAAGTTTTTCCTAATAACTAACCTAAATCTCCCTTGATGCAGATTAAGCCCATTACTTCTTGTCCTACCTTCAGTGGACATGGAGAACAATAGATCACCATCCTCTTTTTATACTAGCCCTTAACATATTTGAAGACTATTAGCAGGTCCCCTCTCAGTCTTCTTTTCTGAAGACGAAACATACTTTGCACTTGTCTTCATTAAATTTAATCTTGTTGATTTCAGACCAATTCTCCAGTTTGTCCAGATGGTTTTGAGTTTTAATCCTCTTTTCCTAAGTGCTCGTAACCCCTCCCAGCCTGGTGTTATCCACACATTTTATAAGCATACTCTCCATTTCATTAGCCAAGTCATTAATGAAAATATAGAATAATGCCAGACCCAGAACTGGACCCTACTAGATACGCCCTCCCAGTTTGACAGTGAACCATTGATAACTACTCTCTAGCAATCAGTTTTGCACCCACCTTATAATAATTTTATCTAGACCACATTTCCCTAGTTTGCTTCTGAGAACATTATGTGGGACTGTCTAAAGCCTTACTAAAACCAAGATACATTACATCTACACCTTCCCCCCCATCCACTAAGCTAGTAACCCTGTCAGAGAAGGAAGTTAGGCTGGTATGGCGTTATTCATTCGTGACAAATCCGTGTTGGCTGTTACTTATAAACCTATTATCCTGTAGGTACTTACCATTTGATTGTTTAATAATGTTCCAGTATCTTTCCCGGTATTAAAGTTAGGTTGACTGGTCTGTAATTCCCTGGGTCTCTTGGTTCCCCTTTTTAAAGACAGGTACCATGTTTGCCCTTCTCCACCTGTCCTCCAAGAGATTGCAGTGAAATTTTGTATAAATGAAGCCAAAACGTTTTGAGTGCTAAGAACTCACATTCTTTCCTTCTAAGTTTGAACACTAAAACCACAATTCAGACTGATGCGATTGTAAAATGGCCAGATTCCACAAATTGGGCCCAGCATCCGGGGTGAAATCCTGGCCCCATTGATTTCTCTCCTTGTGGGTAGTCACTTCCACCTGTGCCCAGGAGCTGTAGAATTCCACCCAATCAAAAAGGCAGCAGTTTGCCCAGAGTACAAGGCAGTGGAGGAATTTACCCAGTGAGCTTAATTCTGCTCTTACTTAAACCAGGTTTACATGCCTGCGACACCAATAAGTTCAATAGGATTATTTCTGATTTACATGGATGGATTTGAGAGTAGAATCAGGCCTATATGTTCATTACACAATCTTAGTT